AGCTCTAAGTTTGGACTATGAAATATTTCTCAATGCCACTGCTCTAAATTTTTGATCCCTCTGTCACTGCCACTTGCTCTTTTCCAGTGCATAGTTTTTCTACTTACTTATGTATTTCAGAGACAGCATCAGTAGAAAGGCAAGGAAGAAAATTTATTGATACCAGAGCTTGGAAAAGTTATTGCTGGCTAGTCGAGTCAAAGAGTTGTAGCCCCCAAAAGTAATGTTTCTGAACTCCATAAAAGGGACACTGTAGCTATAGATTATCAGATGGTGGAACGGGATGTCCTTGTCCCATCTTTCCCCCACAATTGCAGGAAGGGCTTTCAGATGGCGTCACGCTGATCTGGACATTGTCTCATCTGGGAAATGCTAGTGACTAATTGCACAAAAATTTCATATGACATCGCGCTGATCCTGTTATTGTCCCCTCAGGGAGGTGGAATTGTCTCATCCTTGCCCTTCATTTTGTATTAACAGAAGTGCACGTTAATGCAGTTCCATTTCACTGACAGGTTAATGACGGGATCCTTGTTATATGTGTGAATGTCTTCCATGTGATTGCTGTCACAGATGGGATAAGAATGGGAGAGTGATCTGCTATGCTCCTGTCCCGCATCTCATAATCTCCTATGACACAAGGGTATCTAGTAGCAGACTGGACTCCTGCTGGGATATCATGAAGACCTTGTTTGTTGACTCCACATGCATAGTTTGGAGCTGGTTGTCTTGGGGTCAAACATGGGCCTTGTCTCTATGGGCCAAACAATGGCCTGCTCTATCTTCTTGGCGGGAAGACCAGACAATGCACAACCCAAATCTTGGTTCTCTTATGAACAGACCAGACAACATCTGGCCTGTTCAGCACCAGAACAGGGGAATGCCTTTCTCAGAAAGGATTTTAAAAACTTACTACTTGATCCTGATTTTCCAGGATGTTCAGGAGCCCTCCTTTCCTAGCAGCTGTTTAAAATATGTCCTGCTGAGCTGCCTGGCACATCCACCACTTCTACTAGTCACTTGCCCTGAGATAAGAACGAGGTGCCCAGCCATGTGTTAGTTGCTGGGCACCTTGTTCTAACCTCAGAGCAAAACAACCCACAGCAGCAGCAGACACACCAGGAGGCTCAGCAGGACATACATAAATCAGCTGCCGAGCATTGGAAGCAGGGGACTTTGTAACAGGGGAAGGTCAGAGCATCTTTGAGGCCAGGATACTCCAGGTTGCCCCTGGCCAGTGCAGACAAAACCATGGTTACTGGATTTGTGAACTCTTATGGATAACAAGATCAGATTGGACCTTATCACACAGGGTCTAAAGCAGAGATAATCCAAAGGAAACCCAGTCCTATTGCGCATTATTTGTCCGTCTGTTCACACGACGTCGCAGGCAACCCAGAGACAACCCAGTGCCAATGCAGAGGAAACCCCGTTCTTTTGGCTTTCGGGTTTACCAGGTATTGCATTTGCGCGATTGGATTAATTGTGCATTAACTCCGCTTTCGCAATACGTCTGATTATCAAATACGTATCCTGGAGCATTTCCCCATCAATTCTGGATGGGATCTTCTCACTTGTGTGTGAACAGCAAATCCGTATCCAGGATGCGCTTTCTTCGCGAATTTGGCAATTGCGCAATTACTCATATAGCATGTGATCACCATTTCCGTATTGTGGGGTCTATTCCCCAATGCTTCTGGATTGCTTCTTCTTTTGCTTTTCTTCTGATTTGAGACCCCCGTGTGATAAGGTCCATTGTTGCAGAGATCTTATAATCTATATAGCTTCATGCATGCAGTTCTGCATCCAACTGCCTGGCAGGTGTCAAATTCTAGGAGGGAATCCTGCTGCTGTTATTTACTGGCCAAGAGGGGAGGGAAAGGGGAGGCTCAGCTTAGTGAGGGGAAAGAAATGAGAGTGTGCTCTCACCCACCTTTTCCTTCCCCTTGGATCTTAGAGCAGCCAGATTTTCATGGTCTGAAGTGCCTCCCCATTTCTTCCCTCTCCCACAGGTAAACAAGAAGAGCAGGTGTCCCTTCTGAGGCGACAGTTGCTCTAATAGTGGGAGATTTCTGGATGGAGCACAAAGGTTTATGTCCTGTCCCAAAAAAGGACATAGGGCCGATGCAGACCAGCCTAAAGGGCTGGCCTGGAGGTGGAGTTGGGACAGGGCGACTCTGCACGCTGCACGTTGGCCACTCCGACTATGCAGCATGTCTGACCGCACACCGCGCAGCATCAGGGCACCCCTTTGGTGCAGCATGCACACATGCTGCACCAAAGGGGCACAAAAGAGCCGCAGTGGTGGCTCTAAGGGCAACTTTTTGCCGCCCCAAAAAGGAGGGGCATTTGCCAGCTCTTTTTGGAGCAGCAAAAAGGAGGATCGGGGCCATGGCGTGTGGTTGCCGCGGCCCTAATCCAGCACTCCCCGGCGGGCCATCTGCATCAGCCCTTACACATTTGTAAGCTGCACTTGTTTTTGTGTGTGCCTTCAAGTCACCTGTTGGTAACCTCCTGAATTTCATAGGGTTTTCTTAGGCCAGGAATTCTCAGAGCTGTTTTTGCCAGTTTCTTCCTCTGAAATACAACCTATAGCACCTGCAGTCACTTACTGGGCAGTCTTTCATCCAAAGACTGACCCTGCTTAGCTTCCAAGATCAGACAGAATCTGGTGCTTTTAGGGTACTTCCATGCACCTAAATCACTAACAAAATGCTAGTCCGTTTCTACCTCCTCTCAAAACAGTTGAGCAGACAAGTCCAAAATCTACACTAACGTTTCCCTATCCACTTCTTTTGAGTCTGATGAGCTCCTTGGTAGTCAAGTCTCAAGACAGGTCAACATGCTGAAAAAGAGTAATTTTGAAGGGGGCAGAGCCGAGTACTTGGGAGGAACTTCCAATTTCCCAAATGTCTGTTCTGTGTCAAATCCATGGTGAAATGACTCTCCTAACTCTTCAGAAACCCATATCCCATTCTCCAAAAGTTTTGCCTGTTACTTGGTTCATGTGATCATTCACATCCCTTGATTTTTCAACATTTGCCTGTACACTTGAACCCCATCAGACTGCATGAACTGCCTGCATGGTCTTGGAAGTGGATTTGAGGTATTTACATGTCAGGCATACAAATCTGGCTATCATCAATGAATATGGATATGCATGTGTGAACTCACCTTATATATATTTTTAATGACTTCCTTCTAAATGACTCCAAAAGAGAGAGAGAGAAAGAGAATACAATTTCCTCAGCTCCTTAAAATATTTCATTTAATTACCTTAGCGGCAGACCATTTGCAAGAGAGAGGATGACGTGATCTGTTTTCCCAGTTTCTTCAGAAGAGGAACTGAGGCAGGGGTAGATTATTAGTCCTGTCTCCCCATCAGGAAAAAATAAAAATCTTTCAGTGAGGGATTTATCTTCCACTCCAAATAATTTCCTGACGGAATAGCTGAAGTGCTCATTGTGAATGCATAGTCAGAACCCGCTTTGCTTTGAAGTTATCTCGGACTTCACAGGTGTAAGAAGTGTGTGTTCGCCAGTCAATCGCCTTGTGTGAAGAACTCTGCAGGTGCCTCAGAGGAAAATCGACCCCCTGACACACATCACAAAATTGTGGACCGTAATTTGAGGCAGCTAGCAGTCTCCCCTGACAAGGAGCCAAGAGCTAGTAGGAGGAATTAATTACCATATCCTTAGAGTTGAGAGTCCTCAGACATGAATTGAAATAAAAATAAGGAAAGAAACCCAAATGCTTGGCTGTGCCAGGAGACACTGGGAGACTGTCCATCAGGGGTGTAGTTTTGGAATGGGGGTGGAATAAAATGGGGGCATTGCCCTCTCGGTAAGGATTCTGCCTCCCCTATGAAATTCTCCTCCAGTCTCCAAATTCCTAGCATTGCAGTAACTTAAAACTTCAGCTGAGCTTTTGGAAATACAGTTTAGGCAGTCAACAAAATAAAAAAAGGGGGGTGATTATTCGGTTTTTCTGGTTTTACATTGTAAGTAATTTTAATTGTTGTTAGCCGCCTCGATTGTTCACAGAGGGGCGGGGTATTATTATTATTATTATTATTATTATTATTATTATTATTATTATTATTATTATTATTATTATTATTATTATTATTATTATTATTATTATTAAAGTTACCAAGAGAATATGAACACCTAAAATAGAAAAAAAAGGTCTAGGTGCGAGCCGTTTTCAGGGTCTCATGTGCTGCAATGCTAGAAAATTGAGAACTGCAAGGAAATTTAATTTGGGGACATGAATTCTTTTTTTTTTTTTGTGGGGGCTTTAATTACCTCATTCCACCCCATAGGTACACCTGGATAGCACAGGTAGGCTGCATCTGCACTGCAGACATAATCCAGTTTCACACCACTTTAACTGCCCTGGCTCAGTGTTATGGAATTCTGGGAATTGTACTTTTGTGAAACATTTAGCCTTCTCTGTCACAGAGCTCTGGTGCCACAACAAACTACAAATCCCAGGACTCCGTAGGAAGGAGCCATGGTAGTTAAAGTGGTTTATTTCTGCCATGCAGATGCAGCCATAAGCTCCAACACACACAAACACTCTTGACACCAGCTGATGAAACATTACTGGGATTCTACTTTTCTTTCTGTTGAGTCGACAGCTATTTACTTTGCAGTCATCTGTCCTGCAGGGATTCTGGAGAAGTGTTTAGTAAACTGATCATTACAGTTCAGTATTAAATAACTCGAGAAACTTTTAATCTCCCAATGGATCTGGCAGTGTTTAGTATGGAACAGGTGCAACTCAAATGTATTTAGCAACATGTCCAAGACAATTATTGCTGGGTGGATGAAATGGGAACAATGAATGAGAAGCTATGCAGGCAGAAGGTTTGTTGCTGTGTGACTTCAAGCCACCCCTAAAGTGAATTTATCACAAGTTTTTCTTGGCAAGATTTGTTCAGAGGAGGTTGTGCCTTTGACTTCCTCTGAGGCTGAGAGAGTGTGACTTGCCCAAGTTGCCTGAATGGGGATTCAAACCCTGGTCTCCAGAGTTGTAGTCCACTGCTCAAGCCACTACGCTATACTGTCTCATACAGCAGATTGCCAGTTGCTTAAATGCATGTAAGACTGTCACTATAGTAACTTTAAAGAAAACTTCTCAAATTTCATTATAAAAAGCCCACGGTGGAAGAGACATCAATTGCCAAATGTGCATTAATGAAGCAAATGGAAACCTTCTGTGCTTCATTTTTTCTTACTTCAGGACACCAAAAATGGATACAGCTAATACAGTTGGGAATCCAATCCACCCAAGCAGAGAGAGCCTTTTATTTTAAAGGCTTCAAAATTCCTGGCAGTTTGTGCATTTTGGCAAATACTAGACTAAGAAGCAGTCTATCCATTACACAGAAGTCAAGTGGCAGGTACACTTTCAAATCCTGGATTTTCCATCAGTTCAGATTACTCCCAGTGATGGTTAGGTGGATAAGATTTCATGTATTTATTCATTTTAAATATGTTTTGATAGGGAAGCCTCCATGCTTGCAGTAAGCTAGCAAATCGAGGAATAAGTTATATTCACCCAGTTTGCAGCTTACAGTAAGTGAGGAATTTTTCATGTGGAATAACACATTCAAAAATATGCATCTCATATTGGTCAATACCATTCTTTCAGCACCTTGTTCTACACCTCATATGGTGAATGTGTAGCCTTCCAGATGTTGGTGGGCTACACCTCCCAAAACACCCCTCAACATTGGATATGCCTCTGCACTAGCTGTTGTTGTGGTTGTTGTTGTTCTGTACTTGCAAGTTGTTTCTGAGTTATGGCAACCCTATGGTGAACTTATCATGAGGTTTCTTGGCAAGCGTTGTTCAGGGAAGGTTTTCCATTGCCTTCTTTTGAGGCTGAGAGCATGTGACCTGCCCAAGGTCACCCAAAGGGTTTCATGGCCAAGTGGGGAATTGAACCTTGGTCCCCAGAGACATAGACACTACACCATGCTGGACCTTGGTGATTTCTGTATCAGCGGGATGGTGACAGGGTTTGCTGCTTTGGATTTTAGTCTAAAGTTTTAAAAGTGCCATCCAAGGTGCTGAACCTATTTCCGGGATGGTTTTCAACCATTTAGATAGCAAGTTTAATGATTAGATAAAACCTGGTATGGATTTGCCACCTCATTGACATAGAAACTGGGTTTGCCTCCTAGGGCAGATGGGACTTGTAGTCCAACAACATCTGGATGGTGACACATTCCTGCCACTGTTATATGCCAATGGACTTGTCTACACATGCTGCAGAATGGGGTGATGGTATCTGCAAGTGGTAGAAACAGTCCCATTTCAGGCTACATGTGTGTGGGTGCTATTTGCTGCCCTGCACTTTGAAAAAATTAAATTAAAAATCCCTGAAATTTAAAAAAAATAGTATGTTGCAAAAAGAGGTTCTGATTCAACCTGCTTGGTGCTGTGCTTGTTGCATACATACAGGGAGAACAGGAAAGGGGGCCATTTAAAAATATATCCACATTGCAGTCTTTAATGGTCCAATGCAATCTGCATCTCAAAAATCAATAACCCCATTCTGTGGGAAATGATATTTTTAAAAAAATGCAGCTCCCAGAATCCCTAGAAGTTGCAATGTTGCTTCAAGGATTCTGGGGCTCATAGTCCAGAAAAGCACTTTTTCCATTCTCAGCACCAGAAGTGTGTGTCAGCCCTAATGCCCTCCTCCTAAAATATTTGAGCTAACTTGCCTAGATAGATGAGGGTAAGTGGGAGGGGAGAGGAAAGAAAATAAACTGAAAGTCATATTGCCTAAGAAACAGGAGGGAAATGAAACTTTCAGAGTTGCTTCAAGTTCATTCCCTCCCCCTTCTGCCCAAGGGATAAACTGTGCTTTGTCAGATGCAGATGCGTTTCATAAAGTGCATCCTATGATGGACGTTGGACTCTTTTTTTCCCCCCTTTGCTTCCTGTTTAATTTGAAAAGCTTTGGTCAAACAATGCTTATGCAATCCAAACAAAATGCCAAATAGGTAGTACAAAAGAGATGCTTATAAAAGCATTTCTTCAGGACTGACATCTACCTATTGAAGACGAGAGAGCCAAAGACTGGAGGAGATAAAGGATGTTGAGCGGCTGGGTAAACTTCAGTGGAGCAATAGGCCAACAAAGCTGCAGATGGTGAAAATCTGAACATCAACCAGCAATTGCTCAATTGGGTGGTTTGTGTGTATTTACACACATGCACACACACACACTTTTCCGTACCCTGACAGTTTGGGCAAATCTATTTATGGCCCGTATCATTTTTTCATGTTGCTACCCATAATTCCCTTTAATCTCTACATTAATCTGCTGGGTTTTTGTTTTTAGAAAAATCCTTTGAAAAATACATATCGACACACATACATTGATGCTTTGAAACTGCTAAGAGCAGTATTACGATGTTTGAAGAAGTACAAAATCTGTTGAATGGATACACTCTGACTCTGTACTATGAAAGGTGTGGATCAGGAGATTTTGTATGGAGGTTTGCAAAGATCATATTCCTTAAGGTTTTTTGTTGTTGTTGTATAGGACACCTAGGAAGAGGCAGAGGGGCAGCTCTCATCTACATCCCCTGTAGCTTCTCTCTCCCAAAAGTAAATTTGCAAATATGGTTGGCCTTCCAGGTGTTGATGGACTGCAGTATCCATCATCTTAAGGCAGCTTGACAGTAGTGAGGAGTGATGGGAGCTATCATGATTAATGCCTTTAAAATTGAGACTAAAGTATAACCTACTGACATGGGAGCTATCACCTTTTATTGCCCCAGCCAACATGACCAGTGGCCGTGCTGGCTGGAATATATCGTGAGTTGTCATCCAAAAAAGTAAACTTTTCCAAACTCTGATTCCTCCCCCTGCTAAGCTTGACTCAGGATACCGTGGCCAGCATCTCTAATTCTGGATTCTAAATTCCTGGGCTCAATACATGCTCAGAGGCACCCTGTTTCTTAATACTAAATGTATGCATACCCTGAAATGAGTCACAATTTTGTGCAAAACTTGGGTTGATGAGTCTCAGTATTTGACTGAAAAGCAAAACAGATCTCATAGACCTGAAATATTGCCATCACAACAGCACCATCTCTACTGTATATAAAAATGTATGGACAGGGATGCAGAGTGGTACACACGCCTATCCAAGCTGCACATATTGTCAAATGTGTTTTGAATTAGAAGCATAGAATCCTAGAGTTGGAAGAGACCTCAAGGGTCATCCAGTGCAACCTCTTGCCATGCAGGAACACAGAAGCAAAGCACTTCCAACAAATGTTCATCCAGCCTCTGTTTAAAAGCCTCCAAAGAAGGAGACTACCATGTTTCAAGGCAGTGTCTCCCATACAAGAGGGGGAAAGGCTGACACTGTAAGAGACACAGGCCTTCATTTTGTC